TAAAAATATTCTTCATAAGTTTATTGAAAAAAATTTTTAATTTAGTAAAATAAAAAGTCACTTTTAGGAAAATAAAAAAAATGTGCCCAGTGCAATAGACTGCATTCCCCAGTAGAACTGCACTTCCCAACAGAAGTGCGCTCCACACGATAAAGTTGGTGCCTGCCGTTTCATACTCATGTCAACTCCTTGTGCATTCATCCAACTGGGCCTCACACCGTTGAACCTTCTGGGTCAGGTCAGCAATACCCCGGACCCTGACAGATGGGATCCCAGTAAGCACCGTCAGACACTGTTGTGTTTCTTGGCTACAGCTTTAAAAATGATAACTTCTGCATGGTTTTAGCACCAAACATACCTTATCTAAATTTAAGAAGAGATGCAAATATTCCCAAAGCAAATTCACAGATACAAATCTTTACAAATCAGCACTGAAAGAGAAGGATCTGGAATAACAGAAAACTGTGAGATTGTGAGAAGGAGGTCTGTTTGGGGAGAAGATTTAGAGTTTAAAGCTTGAGATGGGAAAATGAGGGGTTGAGGGCACCATGTCTCATGGCTGTTTCTCCTGGGCTTTCCAGAAAGAAACCAGAGCAGGTCGGGAGCATTCAGCTGGCCTCTCCCCAGACCAGAATCTCTGACTTCTCTTCTCCTCATGATGTCGAAGGGTAAATTTATTTGGTCCTTCTCCATAAATCACCTCAAACTCACCCAGTATTAGTAGAGGTAAAAGAGAAAGGCTTCCAAGGTCCAATTAATAGATAGACACAATATTGAAAAAAGGCCTGATGACTCACTAGGAAATCCAGCTCACCAGGAAATACAATCAGACTTCTGGAAAATCTATGTTAAATTGGCTATAAGGATCTTAGGATAAAGGCTGAGGGATATTCAAATAGACAAGGCCGAACTGGAAAGAGAGTCTTACAATGAAGACTATCCTCTGACTATGACATTCCAAGAGTTAGATGCTCTGCTCCTGTGTTTGATGAGATTATGGAGATTACATGACCCTAATTATCGGATATTTGAGAACAACTGCAGTCATATAATAGAAGGAATCGAGAATGATAAAAAAAAATAGGCCATTTTAATTAGCCTGAGGCAGGACGCCTTAGTTGTCCAAATGATCTACTTTTTGCAAAGCAACTGGCATTCCTATTTTCCCTAAGATTTACATCCTGCTCTTCCAAACAGAGGCAGAGCTACTGCAGGGTGGGGATGGTGTTGGTGGTGAATACATAGAGAACCAGCAAATAAGAATTTTTTTTAGTGAGCCAGTGTTTCATTCTATTCATACAACAGTTGCTTGGTCAAATTCTCTGGCCATTGCTTACTGGTGATCTAATAAAATTACAAAAATAATTAATGCAGCACCTGAAACAGTTCATCTCTCAAACTGCCCCAGTAACAGCTTCAGCTAGAGCACAACTCTTGGTGTTGTAGCCGCCAGCCCCTGAAAGACACACAGACTACCAGGAATCAGCGAGTCATAGGAATCACACTCTTTATTCAGCCAGCTGGGTCTGCCAGGGGTACACAGACCCCAAATTAAGCAGCCCCAAAATGTAGAGGTACAGAGTTTTTAAGCCCAAAACCCCATTCTTCATTCTGTCTGAATACAAAGGTCTATTTTTCTCCTATTCACTACCTGTCAACCTATAGGTCGGGGTGTGCAAGCGGGGAGTACAGAAGCAGAAAGCTTGTTATCAGAATGTTATGTCCCTATGATCAAAAGCCTTTTGTTCCCATGGCGATAGTCAAACAGTAATTTCCTACAAGTAATAAATCTCAAGTAGTCATTTTTCAGCCACCATATTGGCAAGCACTCCACTTGCTAATTTCCATAGTTCAAAGTTCCGGGAACTGAGCCAAGATAGGCCTCACCAGGATAAGGATGAAGCTTTTAATGTACCCAGAAAGCAAGTGGCTGTTTTGAAAACTATGCTTTCCATTTAACCTAATCTCTCTGAATGTAGAGAGCCTTCCCTTAAAGACTAAGAATGAGGCCCTTCAAAAGGAGAGACATGTGGCCCTAATGTCCTTTCTCTCTAGACCCACTGCAATATCAGATTCCTCCGAAGAAACATATGTCTGAGTCTTGATGCTTTGGACAAGAGAAATATTCAAGAATTTCAGGTAATTTTAGATATAGGATCAGAGATGATGCAAATTCCCAGAAATCTTAACTGAATGGGAAAGACTAAGGGTTTGAGGCTTAAGGATCTGAAGTGGACAGGTTTTTCAAACCCTACAGGTTGGACACAGGACCAAAAGTGTCTTTTTTGGTGGTTTCATTTCTCCTTAATATTGTTCTTTTAAAATTTTTTATTTTGAAATTATTTTAGACTCACAAAAATATTGCAAAAATAGTACAGATTCCCTATAACCCTTCCTCCAACTTCCTTTAATGTTAACACCTCACATAACAATAATACAACTATCAAAATCAGGACATTAACATTGATACAATACTATTAACCATAAGAGTATTATTGAAATTAAGTTATTGCTATCTTGGAGAAAGAGTTTACCCAAGTGGGTAGTATAGTGGCTGCTAAAAACAATCATGGATTTCTCTTGTCCCACCAAAACTGTAAATATGAAATAGTACCAAGCCCAGGATCATGGATACTAGAGTGACTGAAAGTCTGTCTCTACCTCCAGCCCTTTTCCCTTTCTCAGTTGGGTTTTTGGGAAAGTCAACAGATCTCTCCAATGTTGAGGATTACAGAAAACTAAATGAACTCGTGTTAACTGTGGCTGACACTGTTTCTCTATAGGAAGATCCTTCTAAATCACCCTTGACTGGCATCCTTTTATTGATCTTACTAGGGTATTGTTTTCAGTCCCAATACATTTTAGATATGAATAACAGTTTGCTCTCACTTGGCAACCAGTGGTTTCCCTTGACAGTCTTGCCTCCAAGACATTTAAATTCTCTAACATTTGTCAGACTCTATTAAGGTGGGATTTTAACAGATATCTTAATGCTAATTCAGATAGTGAAATTATTCATTATATTGATGGCATACTGATCAGAGGTGACTCAGAAGCAATTGTTTCTGAAGCCCAGCCTTTCTATATTGAATTTACAACTGAAATGCAGTGAGCTGATAAGCATGGGGCCCTCTCAGAAAGAAACATTTCTGGGAGGGTAATTATCTGAGGTAACCAGAGAAATTCTACCTTTGATCAGACAAAGTCTTTTGTCTATCCATGAAGTCCCCATCCTTAAAGTGGAGGCACAGAAATCAATTTTTATGTTTAATACTTGGGATAGCATGTCACACATCTGGGTATTAAGTTAAAGCCATTTCAAGTCACTAGACAGGCATTGGAATTTGTATGAGGATGCTCCCCTCTCATGAGGGCAAAGTATGTTCTTAAAGCAGATGATTGTTTTGCAGATTATGGGCATCCCCTGGTAGTTGGCCTGTACAGTACCTACTTACCTGGAATTCTAAGTGCAGAATTCCCTAGACGAGGGCATTTTTGAATGGCCTGGCGTAGACCTCCTTAACTGCTTTTCTCTCATTTGCCTGGAAACCATTTCCTTGCTTCTTTACAGCAACCTGGGCATTGGGGAAGGGGGAGAGAAAAGCCACCTTTCTCACTGATTTTCTGAAATCTGAATGCAAATTTTAATTATTGTGCTGGTGCTTGTAGCAGCCCAGGTAAATTCCTGGCAAGCTATTCCTAGACTGAGGACAGCCTGAAATACTTACAACAACAGGTATTTAAAATATGCTGCAGCAGTTACTTCAGGAAATGGAATGGGGAAAGCTTATAGAACTCTTGAGACCTGGGCCTAGTTCGATATCTTTTTGTTTAGTTTGTAAATATTTATTGAGCCTCAATTTGCTCAGCATCTTCCATGTGCTCCATCGCCCCTTCTCCACCCTGCTCTGTACCCAGACAGGCTGAGCTGTATGGTTAGATTCAGCCAAAGAGAGCCTGATACTGCAGGGTAAGAGGAGAGTGAAGTTAAAGGTTTTATTGTCCCCACTTCTGCCACCTTACCATGGGTGCCTGCCTCCTTCTATGAAGGCTACAGCTACTACCAGGCAGCCTTCTCCCCTTGAGGCTTCAGGCCCAAGTTTCTGCACCAAAACTTTAAAACAAACAAACAAAACCTTTCCCATGCCTTTACAAATAGTCTCTTTATGAAACTCTCCTCAAATTACCCAGTTTGAAAGTGTCACTCGTTTCCTGCCAGAACTCTGATACAGCTCAACACTGACACTGCCTTGCGACCAGATTTGTGAGTTAAAGAACAAAACATTTACTGAGCATCTACTATAGGTCAATCAGGACAGTATTTGTTACATACGTTAGCCCATGTGATCATCACAATAAACCTTTTACAGATAAGGAAACTGGATTCATAGGCTTAAATATGTACCTTGCTGAGGATCACTACGCTATTAAGGAGCAGGGTCATACTGGAACCCGGATAGGTCTCGCTCTGTAAACATCTACCTCTGGAGGCCTTGCTAGGAACCCTTAGTTCTAGGGAAAAGGCTTGAGAAAGACTGAGAGGCAAAGGAGGGATTAGGATCATGCTCTTCTTCCTATCCCCTGATTTACTAGTTCTACGGATTTCGACTGCCCCTCCCCTCCTCCCCCTCCCCCCCGCGTTATTCAAGAGTCAACTAAACAATCACCTAGGATGCTTTTTAAAAATCCAGCTTCTTGGAACCACCAGGGTATTTCCTAATACTTTGCTTTCAGCAGTTTTCGTACTTCTATTTCGATACACCACATTGGATTGCAGGGTTAGTAATTAATTTACTTTAGCAGACACTTTCTTCCGGCACTAGTGGATTTGCACAAACTCTAGGGGGGGCTCACACAACGGATTAGAGAGTGTCCCCATACCCGCCCAATGGGAGCAGTGCAAAGATTCCAATTGCTACTGCTCCCGAGGGAGGTGTAAGGACACTAGGCCCCGCTCGTGATTCCGCGGAGCACGCCCCACCTTTTTTGTCGCAGTTAGGATGGCGGCCACGGTGACGGTGGAGCCCAACCGCGGCCGCTGGGACGAGCCCGTGCGCATCGTCGTGCGCG